GAAGAACGTGCTGTTTGACAGTCGGGATGTCAAATTTGTGGAGAACATCATGTATGGCAATTGCAGCATGTTGGTGCATATTCGTTTGCACGTCATCCTGTTGTCTGTTCGCATAATTCGTTTGCATGTGTTTCGTGTGCTACGTTGTTTGTGTGGTTTGTTGGGTTTGCATGTCTTTGCATATTCATCTTGTGCTTGTACAGATGTGCTTGGATTGTGCATGACATCGAGCACATTCGAACGAGCCAAGAATTGTTGGAATCGGAGCACATATGAAGAAGTTACGAAGAAATGCTTGATGGATTTGTTACAATTCATTGGAAGTCCTTGGCAGCTGCTACACCAAAGTTGGAGAGCCCTATAACGAGGAGGGACCAGCATGTGTGGGACTTTTGTCCTCACCTTGCAGCTGCAGCATTTGGGGGTTGGAGGCCAACCTGGCACAGTGTGAATTTTGTCTTGCCAGGCTGGTTGAATCTGAGGATGGGGAGTCAAGACTTTGACTCTTGTCAGATTCTTGACCATGGGCCTCCAGGGTCCTTCCTGTTGGAAACAGAAAGGTTCAGTTTATTGATGAAGCAAAGGCATTACATAGGAAGAGAGAGATGAGCTAGGAAGGGAAGGTTGGAAGGGAAGGGGGGGTTAGGACCAATCACAAGGGAGGGAGGATCCTTCCAAATGTGGTTGACCACCAGTTGGAGGTGGTCCAAGTGTGGTGTACCACCAGTGGTTTAGCCAACCCACTTGTGGTGCCCCCACAATTGTGGTCCTTGTGTTTGGGGGCTCCAACCACAATTGGGTTGGATTGACACCCCAACACAGGTGTACACCCAACTAGGGATGTAAACACAATATACACAACTAGCATAGCATGGTATATTCTAACACAACCCCATAGCATGCAAAGCTAGTGTATATGTAGGGTACAACCCCAGAATCAGGAAGGGGGGCGGGGCCCAAGGCCGAGAAGGCGGAGGAGGGCAGAGTGCGCGGTCTTCGGGAGGGCCTTGGTGAAGATGTCGGCCAAGTTGGCCTCTGCAGCGATCTTGCGGACCACCAAGTGACCTTGCTGGACCAACTCTCGAACGAAGAAGTAGCGGAGTTCAATGTGCTTGGAGCGGCCATGGAAGACAGGGTCCTTTGTGAGATGGATGGTGCTGGCGTTGTCGCACCAGAGGGTGGGACAGCGCTGAGGAGCACCGATCTCAGCAAGGAGGAAGGTGAGCCAGCGAGCCTCCTGAGCGGCCATGGTGCAAGCATAGAGCTCAGCCTCGCAGGATGAGAGGGCGATGGAAGAGGAGCAAGTGGAGCGCCAGCTGATGAGGCCGCTGCCAAGGGTGAAGCCGTAGCCTTGAGAGGAACGGCGATCCGGCTGGGAGTCAGCCCAGGAGGAGTCACTGAAGCCAGAGAGGAGGGGAGGAGAAGAGCCTCCGAGGGTGAGGACATAGTCCTTGGTACCACGGAGGTAGCGGAGGACCCGCTTCGCTGCAGCCCAGTGCTCATCAGTGTGGCGACCGGTACCGACGAATCGAGCAAGAACACTGATGGGGTAGGCAAGGTCGGGGCGGGTGCACATCATAGCGTACATCAGCGAGCCGACGAGCTCAGCGTAAGGATGGTCAGAGGAGGAGGGAGCAGGAGGAGGGGCAAGCTGGTGGTCGGTCTGCAGGGGAGTGGTAACCGGCTTCGCCTGCGCCATGTCGAACCGCTGCAAGACTTGGTCGATGTAGAAGGACTGAGAGAGGGTAATGGTGCGCGATGTGCGGTCCCGGGTGATGGTCATGCCCAGATAGTGCTTGAGCTCACCCAGGTCCTTGCACTTGAGGCGCGCATGCAGGGCGTCCTTCACTTGCTGCATGGCGGCAGCATCGTCGGCGAACAGGATCATGTCGTCGACATACACCAGGATGAAGAAGCGGGTGGGAGAGGAGCGAAGGAAAAGGCTGGCATCAGACTGAGAGGCATGGAACCCCAAGGACTGCAGAGTGGCGGCCAGCTTGTTGTGCCACTCGCGAGGAGCCTGCTTGAGGCCATAAACCGGGCGGCGCAGCTCCCAGACTGTGTTGGCAGGGAAGGCTGCATGAAAGCCTGGAGGCCGCCGCAAGAGGACCCGCTCCTGGAGCTCGCCTTGCAGGAAGGCGTTGGAGACATCCATGGAGGCAATCTCCATGCCAATGCGAACAGCATAGTCGAGGATGGCACGGAGAGTTGGGAGCTTGGCAGTGGGAGAGAATGTCTCCCAGTAGTCGATGCCATGGGTTTGGGTGAAGCCCTTGGCACAATACCGGGCCTTGTAGACCGGCTCCTCAACCGGCAGCTGCTTCACTCGGAACACCCACAGGCCTTCAACAATGACGTCGTCAGGAGAGGGGACAATGTTAACGAATGAGGCATTGCGGATGAAGGCCTCGCATTCAGCAAAGATAGCCTGGATCCACTTGGCAGCATCGGGGCAGGTGATGGCCTCAAGGAAGTTGGACGGAGTGAATCTGGTGGGAGCGGTAGCGATGCCAAGGATGAGGAGGCCAAGGAAGCCCGGGTAGAGAGGCGTGAGGGAAGGTGTTTGTTTCTGAACGCCAATGAGCTCCTCATGGGAGTCCTCAATGAAGGGAAGGGAGGGTGGGGGTGGTGTTGGCCAACCCCATGGATGGCCTATGAGTGGGCCGTGAGAGCGAGTGTGGATGCGTGGGAGGATGAACGGAGAGGTGGTGCGGCGATGCCGATGAGGTTGCTGCAGTGGCTGATGCTGCTGCTGCTGCTGCTGCTGCTGTGGCTGCTGCTGGTGCTGCTGCTGCACCTCCTGCTGCGGCTGCTGTTGCTGCACTGCCTGCGGTTGCTGCTGCTGCTGCTGCTGCTGCTCCATCCGCTGCTGCACCTCCTGCTGCTGCTGCTGCTGCTGCTGCTCCATCCGCTGCTGCTGCTGCTGCTGCTGCTGCTGCTGCTGCTGCTCCATCCGCTGCTGCTGCTGCACCTGCTGCTGCTGCTGTTGCTGCTGCTGCTGCTGCTGCTCCTTCTGCTGCTGCTGCTGCTGCTGCTGCTGCTGCTGCTGCTGCTGCTGCTGCTGCTGGTGCTGGTGTGATGAGGCAGAGTGAGCAGGGGAGTCAGGGACAGCTGGGTCGTAAATGTCACCTGAGGAAGGAGGAGGGGGAGGAGCAGGATTTGGAGGAAGGAGGGGAGCCTGGGGAAGGAGTGGGGGAATGACAGCATCAGCCCAGGTGAGGGGGCGGGAGAGAGGAGGAAGGGGGTCGGAAGGCGGAACAGAATGATAGAACGGGATGCTCTCATCGAACACCACGTCACGGCTCTGTAGGAGGCGGCCTGAGGACGGGTGAAGGAAGAGGTAACCAGGGGCAGAGCGAGCGTGGCCAAGGTAGACACACTCAATGGCCTTGGAGGCGAGCTTTCCTGCCTGCCGAGAGCGGTCAGGTGGGGGGATGAGGACATATGCCTTGCAACCCCAGATACGGAGAATGGCAGCATCTGGCTTGGTGCTAGCCCAGAGCTCAGTGGGAGTGACAGACTGGCGTTGAGGATGTGGGTAAAGATTAGTAAGGAGAGCAGCATGGACAAGGGCATAGCCCCAAAGAGAAGGGGGCGTGGAGGCATGAGTGAGGAGGCAGCGGGCCGTCTTGGTGATCTCACGAATGCGACTCTCAGCAACACCGTTCTGCTGAGGGGAGTGGGGAAGGGTATGAGTCTGCTGGATGCCATGGGTTGAGCAGTAGGAGGAGAGGGTGCGGTTGAGAAACTCACCACCGCCGTCGGAATGGAGGCGGCGGATGGGGCGACCAAAGTGGACTCGACACTGCTCGGCCCAGGTAACGATGACAGCAGGGGCCTCGGCCTTCGTGTGGAGGAGGAACACCGAGGAGTACCTGCTGTGGTCGTCGACTAGGACAAGCATGTACCGGTGCCCTTGGCGGGAAGGGGAAGGGTTAGGGCCCCAGAGGTCCATGTGGACGAGGTCAAGGGGGGCAGCAGCAAAGGAAGGATGACTGAGGTGAGGCTGTTGTTTGAGCTTTCCATGAATGCATGTGGCGCATGGGGGAGCGGAAGAGGACGGGAGGGGAGGAAGAGTGGGGGGAAGACCGTCAAGCAAGCGGGAGGAGACGGCTTTACGAAGTGTGGGAAAGTTCATATGACCAAGGCGGTGGTGGATGAGAACAGCGGGGTGGGACAGTGCGCGACAAGAGCATGGGGAGGAGGTGGAGTTGGAGGAAGGTGGCTCTAGAGGGAGGGGAGGGGGGAGAGTGGAGGTGCCTGCACGAGTGGTCACGTGGCATGAGGAGGGGCGGGGTGTGCGGAGGATGTACTGACGAGAGCGAGGGCAAAGTGGGAGGCGATGAAGGAGGCGGCGAGTGGGGCCGTGGAGGAGGTCACAGTAGGTGGCAGATGCGGGGAAGAGGGTAGTGATGCCAGCCTGTTGGAGTTCACGAATGGAGAGCAGGTTATGACGAAGGGAGGGAATGTGGAGACCAGTGACCACTCCAGAGGGGAAGGGGGGGCAGGGGAGGGTGGAGAGATGAGTGCAAGGGATGGAGAAGCTGGAATCAGCACCATGAACGTTGGTGGGGAAAGGGAGGGAGGTGAGGGTGCCGGCGTCTTTGAGGGCAGTTTCAGTGGCACCACTATCGAGAACAAAGTCAATCGTGAGCGAGGAGGGAGCTGAAGACACGGGGTACTGGAAATCACTGGCATTAAAAACAGAGGGATACATGGAAGTGGAAGCAGGGGAAGAACGCATGAGCTCGCCTAGAAAGCTGGAGTGGGAGGCGGGAGCACTAGGGGAAGGAGAGCCCCAGAGGGGAAAGCCAGGAGGACCTGGTGTGGCTGTGGCAGCCATGGCGGCGGTGCCAAAGCCAAGCTGCTGCTGCTGCCATGCAGATGCTGCGGCTGCGGCTCCTGCAGCTGCGGCTGCAGCCTGACCACCAGAGCCCCACTGCTGCTGCTGCTGCAGCAGCTGCAGCTGCTGGAAGCGGCGAAACTGCTGCAGCTCCTGGGGAGTTATGGGGTCAGCGACAGAGGAGGAGGAGGAGGAGAGCTGAAGATGAGAGGGGAGAAAAGACGGAAGAGTTTTGACATCCTGGAGAGAGGGGCGGGGATCCATGGCAGACCAGCGTGGGGGTGTGCCAGTGTTGCCGCGCTCGAACCAGGCGTCATCATACGCCTTGAAGCAGGTCGCGGGGGGATGGTTGGTTTGGGTGCAGCGCTCACCCGCCCTGGGACCAAAACGGCGAAGATAGGAACATGGGGGGAGAGTGCCAGGGCGGCCACCACGGCTACCAGATGAGCCACCACTGCCTCCACCACCACCACTGCTGCCACCCTCGACCCCGCCACCACCGCCGCCGGCTCCGCTGCCCCCACAACCGCCACCTCCACCCCCTCCCTGAGGGTTGGTGCGGCCGCCACGTGGGCGCCCGCCACGACGCGGCTGTGTGACTGCAAGCTGGGGGTTTTGGGACTCGGTGGAGTTCAGGCCGGAGGGGGGGGTTGAGAGAAGGCGGGCCTCAGCGTCAATGATCCATTGGACCACAGTGTCAAGGGAGGCGCGGGGCTGAGCCTCAGTGAAGGCGATGACGCGCACTTCATATTGAGGGGAGAGGCCTTCGAGGAGACGGTAGATCTGAAGGTTGGGGGGGAGAGTAGTCTGGCGAGCCTCAAGGCGGGAGGCAAGGTCCAGGAGACGGCTGGTGTAGTCAACGGCGCCAGCACTGTGTTCGATCGTGATGCTGAAGTATTCCTTGAAGAGCGGTCCGACAGCATCGAAGTCGGTGCGTTCGAACATTGCCTCAAGCTCGAGCCAGATCTGGCGGGAGCCGATGCGACGTGCCTGGAAGTTGCGCATGAGCGCAGACGGGATGGCAAGGAGAAGGGCACCAGTAGCACGGCTGTCCGCCTCGAGCCAGGCGCGACGACGCTCAGCAAATCGCGCAGAGTCAGCGGCATAAGCGGCGGCGGTAGCGGCATGCTGGGTGCGGAGGGTTGCCGACCGCTCGTGTTCCTCCAACGCGATCAGGTAATCAGTATGGAGCACGAGGAAATCACGACGCTGAGTAAGGAAGAGCTGCTCAACTTCAGCGGTGGCAGCGCGAGTGCTGGTGCCAACGGTTACCATGGGGGGCGGAGGTTCCTCGCCGGGATGGGGAATGAGAGGGGGGGGATCGCCAGGGTGAGGCGGCGGGTCCCCAAGGTCACCCTCTGGGAGACCAAGCATGATGTCCAGGAGGCGGAACGGCAGGACATAAGCACTGCCGAGGACGCGGTGGAGGCTGCCGACGAAGGAATACCAGTTGGTTGCTGAGTTGTCGGCAGCGCGCACGAGATGATCGAGGGTCGAGACGTCGACGGGAGGGGGAAAGGATGCCATTGGTGACACGGAGTGGGAGGAAGGCGACGGCGGGTGGACCCGCGGTGGCCGGGAGGGAGCGGCGGTGGGTGGATCCGCGGCGGCTCAAAGAGGAGGGGAGGATGGGGATGGCTGTAGATACTGCTGCTGCTGCTGCTGCTGCTGCTGCTCCTTCTGCTGCTGCAGCTGCTGCTGCTGCTGCTGCTGCTGCTGCTGCTGCTCCTTCTGCTGCTGCTGCTGCTGCTGTTGCTGTTGCTGCTGCTGACGCTGCTGCTGCTGCCACTGCTGCTGCTGCCGCTGTTGCTGCTGCTGCTGCTGCTGCTCCTTCAGCTGCTGCTGCTGCTGCTGCTACTGCTGCTGGTGCTGCTGCTGCTGAGTCTGCTGCTCCTTCTGGTGCTGCTGCTGCTGTGGCTGCAGCAGTGGTAAGGCGGCGATGAGCAGGTGCAGGTGAGGAGGCAAAAGATGGGGAAAGATGGCAGTTAGCTGATGAAAATAGGACTTGGTAGAAATTTCAGTAGCACTTCGTGATCACATCGAGGAAAGTGTGCAAACTTCGGAAAGCGATATCTGACAATCCAAGCGATGAAACAGTCTGCAATTTTAGGACGTTATAGCTGAAACCAAGAGCGTTCTTTTGCAAGTCGAATCACTCAATTCTGTGAACTATCGAGCCAGCTATGGCGTTTGGCGCATTGGGGGTTTTTGAAAATCCACCCAACAGAAAACTAGTTGAGAGGCGGCGGCTAGGAGTCTAGCAGCGGCGATGGAGGGGACGGCAATGAGGTGCACGTCGGAAGGGGACGGGGCGGAAGCGTGGGGAAGGATCGGGATTTAAAAGTTGGCGTGAGCCATTATTGCTCTATACCATGTTAGAAACAGAAAGGTTGAGTTTATTGATGAGGCAAAGGCATTACATAGAAAGAGAGAGATGAGCTAGGAAGGGAAGGTTGGAAGGGAAAGGGGGGTTAGGACCAATCACAAGGGAGGGAGGATCCTTCCAAATGTGGTTGACCACCAGTTGGAGGTGGTCCAAGTGTGGTGTACCACCAGTGGTTTAGCCAACCCACTTGTGGTGCCCCCACAATTGTGGTCCTTGTGTTTGGGGGCTCCAACCACAATTGGGTTGGATTGACACCCCAACACAGGTGTACACCCAACTAGGGATGTAAACACAATATACACAACTAGCATAGCATGGTATATTCTAACATACCACCATCGCTTGGGTCACCCCAACTTCCGTACACTTGCCGACATCGCTTCCAAGAAACTTCTTCTTGGCCTCCCGTCGGCGCTTCCTCCACCAACAGACTCACCTGCACCCACCTGCCTGGACTGCACCAAGAGCAAGCTCAGGCAGCAGCCGCACCCTTCCTCCCCATCCGTCGCAGCTGCTCCGCTGGACCTAGTGCACATGGATGTCTGGGGCCCAGCTCCAGTCGCATCCCGAGGCGGTCATCGGTACTTTCTTACACTAGTCGATGACCACTCGCGGTATGTTTCTGTGCACCTCCTGCATACCAAGGCGGAGGCACCTGATGTCATCATGGCGTGGGTGCGCCAGGCTCAAGTCACGTTCGGCACTCCTCTGAAGTGCCTCCATTCTGATGGCGGGGGAGAATTTCGCAATGGCAAACTCGATAACTTCTGTGCGGCCCAAGGGATTCGGCAAACCTTCACGCTCCCCGAAAGCCCGCAGCAGAATGGCATTGCAGAGAGCCGCAACCACACCTTGGTTCAGATCGCTCGCTGCCTCCTCAGTCACGCCAACGCACCACGGTCACTCTGGGGATATGCCCTCTTCCATGCGGCACTCCTCTACAATCTTTATCCACATCCCCACCGGCCCGACACCACACCTACCGCTCTCTGGCTTGGGGTCACGCCTTCCGCCCGCTCTCTACGCGTCTAGGGGTGTACCGCATATGTGTTGCTGAGCCCCCACACGCGCAGGAAGCAAGGTGGCAAGCTTGGTCCCAAAACCCAGACCTGCATGTACCTGGGGCACAACTCCGACTCCCCAGACTACTTATTCCTCAACCCAATCACCAGACAGCTGATTCGCAGCCGTGATGTCGTCTTCGATGAGACACGCCCATTCCACTCTGCGACCACGGGCGAGCCTCCTCCATCTCCCCCGACGCTTGATTGGGCAGACTTCGATGCCCCACCTCCGGCCGCTGCCCCTTCTCCGGGGCCTTCTCCGTCCGGCGTGTCTCACCCGGCCTCCCCAGTATCCTCCGCAGCGGCACCTCCTCCTGCTCCGCCTTCCCTGCGCGTCGAGCTCGGCTCACCAGTCTCCTATCGGAGGCGCCTAGTCCCTCCGGTCCCACCGCGGCTGCCTTCGTCTCCGGTCTCTAGTCGCACTCGTTCCAAGGGACCGGCTCCGCCTCTCGCCTGGGGACCAGCCGCCTTCTCCATCCGGTGTTCGGTCACCCCGCCTCCTCCTGCCGGGGGTGATGTCCCCTCCATCCGTATTCCCCCCCATGCACTTCTGGAGGACAGGCATGAGGAGCTGTTTGGCCTTCACGCGGTCTGCCAATTTATCTCTCACATCTTCCCGGACATTACTGACTGCCCTTCCCTCAACTTCACCGAGAACCCGACCATTCCGACTCCTCGCACAAAAGAGGAAGCTCTCTCGGGGCCTTATAAGAAGGAGTGGAAGGCAGCAATGGATGTGGAGAACGAGGCGTTCATTCGCAACAACAGCTTTGACGATGTTGTTCCCCCTTCCGGTGTCAACATCGTCGGCAAAAAATGGATCTTCCGAGTCAAACAACTCCCAGGCGAAGCTCCACTGTTCAAGGCACGATACGTGGCAAAGGGTTTCACCCAGAAGGAGTATCTCGACTTCTTCGAAACATTCTCGCCCACGGCCAAGCTCCCGACTGTGCGCGCTCTTCTTGATATAGCCGCTCGCGGCAACTTCGAGATCAAGTCCATGGACGCCTCCTCCGCCTTTCTCCAAGGCCAGCTCAAGGAGGATGTTCACATGGAACGCCCACCGGGGTTTCCTGGCACTTACCCTGCCAACACAGTGTGGAAGCTGAAGCGCCCAGTGTATGGCCTCAAGCAGGCTCCTCGTGAGTGGCACAACAAGGTGAAGGAAGTCCTCCTCGCACTTGACTTCCATCCCTCTGCCTCAGATTCCAGTCTCTTCGTTCGTCACTCCTCCGAGCCCTTCTACATCCTCGTCTACGTCGACGACTTCATTCTAGCCGCCAGAGATCCAGCCGACATGGCAGCTGTCCAGTCTGCTCTCAGCTCCGCCCTTCTCATGAAGGATCTTGGTGACCTCAAGAACTACCTGGGGATGGAGATCACTCGTGACCGCCAGGCTTGCACGATCACCCTCTCCCAGGAGTCCTACATCGACAACCTTCTAAAGTGGTTCGACATGGACTCCAGTAACTCTGTCTCCACTCCACTCCCACTACAGCATCAGCTCACGGCCCCTCCAGTTCCTTCTCCTGACGCCTGCAAGGACCCGTACCCTGAGCTAGTCGGTTCACTCATGTATGCCATGATGTGCACTCGACCAGACTTGGCTTACCTGGTTAGTGTCCTCTCTCGGTACGTCTCCCCCGGACGCTACACTGCCTCGCATTGGTCTGCAGCCAAGAGGGTCCTGCACTATCTACAAGCCACCAAGTCTCACATCCTCACCCTCGGTGGTACCTCTCCAGTCAAGCTCGAGGGATACACAGACTCCTCATGGGCCAATGATCAGA